TGCCAACCACACACCTACCACACACACCAACAAACACGCTAACACCTGCCAACCACACGCAACAACACGCCAACAAACACACTAACACATGCAAACAAACACACCAACAAACAGGCTAACACATGCCAACCACAAGCTAACACACGCCAACCACACGCAAACACGGCAACAAACACGCTAACACACACCAATCACATGCTGACAACACACCTACCACACGCCAATCATACACCTACCACACACCAACAACACGCAAACATCATGCCTACCACATGCCAATCACACGCCTACCACATGCCAACAAACATGTTAACACGCAACATCACACCAACAAACAGGCTAACACATGCCAACCACACGCTGACAACACACCAACAACACGCCAATCACACGGCAACAACACGCTAACACACGCCAACCACATGCTAGGGCTGTGCAATTAATTGAAATACGGTTTTGATTTTGGTTCCTACGATTATGAAAATGCAATAATCAAGATAAAACGATTATTATGCACCATTTCACCCCTTTCCAGCTGTGCGCTTTCACTCCATCATTAAAGCCCAAACTTCACGTGCAAATAGTTATGTAACAACTTTTGCAAAATGGGACGTGCTTGATTGATTAAAGTTTATTCGATTTATATATGTTAAAAGCCCGAAAGAAAACTTGCGCTGATTCAGAGTATTTCTGTGGTGCGCGCGGAGACGGAACAGATGCCGACAAGTAAAAAGTCAACTTTTAGTTTTAGGTGCGTGTCTAAACGGTCAAATATAAAGATTTACTGGAGTACGAGAAAGTCATACATTTTTAATATTAAAGGTAAAAAACCAACCACTTTTATTTATGGAATGTAGTGCAGTAAAAGTTCTCCAAAGAAAAACAACTACAGATACTTTTTTAATGTACTTGAGTAAAGTAAAAATACTTCACTACTGTCCACTACTGCTTATTATATTAAAATAGTCTAAATCTAAATTTAAACTAGTGCTGGGCAACGATTCATCGCATCCAAAATAAAAGATGTGAACACTATAAGTGTGTATATTTATTATGTATATATATATAAATACACACACGTGCATGTGTTTATTTAAAAAAATATGTTATGTTTATATATTAAATATATTTATATATAATAGAAATTGTATGAATATAAATACATACATGCAAATATTTTCTAAATATATACTGTATGTGCGTGTCTTTATATATATATAACGTCAGTAGTGTCGTGTTTGCATCGCTCTTCACTGCAGAAGATCACTTTCAATACGAAAACAACAGACACAGACACTCACAAAAAGCGCTCCAATCTACATCAGAACCCCTGCAGACCACGTGAGTCTCATTAATTAGGCTAATCAACTCCACCATCAGCCAAACCTGACAAGAGCTTGCCCATGGCACGCCGTTTTGACTTTTATTCATTCTCAGGATATGAATCCTTGATATCAACAGTTTTAATTGCCACTAGTGACGATGTTCATTTCTGATATCATGAATGTGATTGTTACTAGTAAGAAAGCCATTTTAGATATCAGAAATTACCCTCCCAATTGTTGATATCAGAAATTAACATTTCAACTAGTGACAATTCATTCTTGACAATTAATTAATAATTAATTCTTGAAGCTCTGGTGAACTCCATGCACAAGAGGGTTAAGCAGTGCTGGAAAATCACACACACACTCACAGATACACACACACACACACACACACTTACACAGAATGATGTATGTTTCGTTGTGAAAAGCAGGTGTAGTTCTCAGTTCTCGATGTAAGATGATTTTATTGCTTTACTGAACTATAAACAAGCGTTCAGGTCAATAAACGACTGTCTCATTATTCTGGAGATCCTGCCTGTGTTTCAGCAGCGCACAAACAAGTGATTCGTGCAGTATTGTTATTATTATTAATACACCACCCATCATCATATCTGCTGATTAAAATCCAGTTCGTTTCTTAATCATTTTGTGCTGCTGATTCTGGCTCATCACACTTTCGACAGAATATAAAACATCTCGTGCTATTTTTGCTTTTGAGAATCGTTTGTGTGTGAATGAATCTGGTATTGTCCATTAATCAGCAGAAACACAAACACGAGTCTGTCTGAATCTGAGCGCATTAAACCGTCTGATCACCTCGAGGCGGAGCGTCTGTTCTTTATCAGGGCTTTTCTTTAGAAAACATCAATCCAAAGATAATATATGCACTACGTTTCATATTAAATATCATTTAATACTTAATCACATTAGAAATCTATTACTTTCTTACTTTTACTCAAGTAAAAGTAATTTAAAGATTTACTGGAGTACGAGAAAGTCATACATTTTTAATATTAAAGGTAAAAAACCAACCACTTTTATTTATGGAATGTAGTGCAGTAAACGTTCTCCAAAGAAAAACAACTACAGATACTTTTTTAATGTACTTGAGTAAAGTAAAAATACTTCACTACTGTCCACTACTGCTTATTATATTAAAATAGTCTAAATCTAAATTTAAACTAGTGCTGGGCAACGATTCATCGCATCCAAAATAGAAGATGTGAACACTATAAGTGTGTATATTTATTATGTATATATATATATAAATACACACACGTGCATGTGTTTATTTAAAAAAATATGTTATGTTTATATATTAAATATATTTATATATAATATAAATTGTATGAATATAAATACATACATGCAAATATTTTCTAAATATATACTGTATATGCGTGTCTTTATATATATATAACGTCAGTAGTGTCGTGTTTGCATCACTCTTCACTGCAGAAGATCACTTTCAATACGAAAACAACAGACACAGACACTCACAAAAAGCGCTCCAATCTACATCAGAACCCCTGCAGACCACGTGAGTCTCATTAATTAGGCTAATCAACTCCACCATCAGCCAAACCTGACAAGAGCTTGCCCATGGCACGCCGTTTTGACTTTTATTCATTCTCAGGATATGAATCCTTGATATCAACAGTTTTAATTGCCACTAGTGACGATAATACACGCAAACATATGTCAAAATGTGGCGCTTAATGATTATGCACGTAAACCCTCGTCGTTCATGTCTTCAGTAAATGTAAACAGTTGAGAATGAAAATACGTCTTTAACAGTATATTGGATCCGTGCCGCTCTTAAAGTGACAGCAGGCTAAACATTCCTGCAAACTTTGCTTACTATTAATCAAACAACAAAACTCACTGCTCTGGACTGATGGATATTTGTAGCATCAATAATAAACAAAGCACGTTTCATTCTTACAGTAAAATATGTCCTTTGCTTTTTTTGTTTTTATTGTATTACTGACTTTAATTATTTTTCAATATTTTGTTTAACTCATACAAGTTTTCAAGTATTGAGAATTGTGGAATTTTGCTGGTGTCTAAAATGATGTCAAAGGAACCTTGTTTAAAGAAAATCTATATTTGATATATCGCTATCTTTAAATAAATTACTCATATAAAGTTTTGGTCATATGGTACACTTACAATTACAATATTGACCAAAATATTTGTGATTATGATTTTTGCCACAATCGAGCAGCCCTACCACATGCCAACAACACGCTTATATAATATTTATATTTAAGATCAACAAACAAACTCGTAATAGTGGACAGCAGGACGAGTCCCTGATCAGCCAATCAGAAGACAGTGCTGGGTTGAGGAACGCGTGTGTGCATTATTTAGTGAGCAGAACAATCATGAACACACTGCAAGTGTCATTATCAGTGTGTTAAAGCGTTTTCTCATGTGTGTGTGTGTGTGTGTGTGTGTGTGTGTGTGTGTG